ATAAATAAAACGTCAATAAACGTCATTATATAACATGATCTTGTACCAAACAAAAACACCATACCTAAAGTTTGTGATTTTTGTTGCTTCCTGGAAAGCCTGGAAATTCTTGGGCTTCACTTAGGCATGGAAGAGGTGGCCAAGCACAACACCAAGGAGGATTGCTGGGTCGTTCTCTACGGAAAGGCCACGGGTCGTGTCACTGGTGGTCCAGTGGTTGAGGAAGGTGTCGTTAGAGATGGCCAGAAGACCTGACATTTGTGGAGTTTATCTCTTATCCAACCAAGATTTGATATGTATATGTATATAATTATATATGTGTATATACAATTATATGGAATATACACTTAAGACAATATTGTATCTCCACATATAAGATATTTTGAGGAGAACTCCCCAACCATTGGTTTCGGGAAGATCATCTTACGCCTTGCACGTCGATCACGTCGCAGGCCTATGACTTGACGAAATTCGCCAAGGTCCACCCTGGTGGTGCCAAGCTCATCACCGATGCAGCGGGGATGGATGCCACGGCCATTTTCGATCCCATTCATCCCAAGGTGGGGGGTCCCATGGGGTCCCTTTGCAGGTCGACACCTGAAGTCGTGGGGTTAAGAATGGGTTTGTCTGGGTTTACCACACTGCGATTTTGTCCAAGATCTCCTTGTGTGGAGGATATCATGGACAAACTCCTGAAACCTTCCTTGACCATGGGCGTGGTGGATGTTGCCACCATCAAGCCTGAGCACGTGGCGAAGGCTCCTGAGGCCTGATGTAGGGCTGGTGATAGACATCATGAGCGCTACCGAGGCTGTAGGTTGGCAACATACCGGGGTAGGAGTGCTGTAGGTTGGCAACATACAGGGCTAGGAGTGCTGTAGGTGGGCAACATACAGGGCTAGGAGTGCTGTAGGTTGGCAACATACAGGGGTTAGGAGGGCTGTAGGTGGGCAACATACAGGGCTAGGAGGGCTGTAGGTCGACAACATACAGGGCTAGGAGGGCTGTAGGTTGGCAACATACAGGGCTAGGAGTGCTGTAGGTTGGCAACATACAGGGCTAGGAGGGCTGTAGGTCGGGAACATACAGGGCCAGGAGGGCTGTAGGTTGGCAACATACAGGGCTAGGAGGGCTGTAGGTGGGCAACATACAGGGCTAGGAGTGCTGTAGGTCGGCAACATACAGGGCTAGGAGGGCTGTAGGTGGGCAACATACAGGGCTAGGAGGGCTGTAGGTCGGCAACATACAGGGCTAGGAGGGCTGTAGGTTGGCAACATACAGGGCTAGGAGTGCTGTAGGTTGGCAACACACAGGGCTAGGAGGGCTGTAGGTGGGCAACATACAGGGCTAGGAGGGCTGTAGGTCGGCAACATACAGGGCTAGGAGGGCTGTAGGTTGGCAACATACAGGGCTAGGAGTGCTGTAGGTTGGCAACATACAGGGCTAGGAGGGGTGTAGGTCGGCAACATACAGGGCTAGGAGTTCTGTAGGTTGGCAACATACAGGGCTAGGTGTGCTGTAGGTTGGCGACATACAGGGCTAGAAGTGCTGTAGGTTGGCAACATACAGGGCTAGGAGTGCACATACAGGGCTAGGAGGTCTGTAGGTTGGCACCATACAGGGCTAGGAGTGCTGTAGGTTGGCAACATACAGGGCTAGGAGTGCTGTAGGTTGGCAACATACAGGGCTAGGTGTGCTCTAGGTCGGCAACATACAGGGCTAGGAGTGCTGTAGGTCGGCAACATACAGGGCTAGGAGTGCTGTAGGTCGGCAACATACAGGGCTAGGAGTGCTGTAGGTTGGCAACATACAGGGCTAGGAGTGCTGTAGGTTGGCAACATACAGGGGTATGAGTGCTGTAGGTCGGCAACATACAGGGCTAGGAGTGCTGTAGGTTGGCAACATACAGGGCTAGGAGTGCTGTAGGTTGGCAACATACAGGGCTAGGAGTGCTGTAGGTCGGCAACATACAGGGCTAGGAGTGCTGTAGGTTGGCAACATACAGGGCTAGGAGTGCTGTAGGTCGGCAACATACAGGGCAAGGAGGGCTGTAGGTTGGCAACATACAGGGCTAGGAGGGCTCCAGGTTGGCAACATACAGGGCTAGGAGTGCTGTAGGTCGGCAACATACAGGGCTAGGAGTTCTGTAGGTTGGCACCATACAGGGCTAGGAGTGCTGTAGGTTGGCAACATACAGGGCTAGGAGTGCTGTAGGTCGGCAACATGCAGGGCTAGGAGTGCTGTAGGTTGGCAACATACAGGGCTAGGAGGGCTGTAGGTCGGCAACATACAGGGCTAGGAGTTCTGTAGGTTGGCAACATACAGGGCTAGGAGTGCTGTAGGTTGGCAACATACAGGGCTAGGAGGGCTGTAGGTCGGCAACATGCAGGGTTAGGAGGGCTGTAGCTTGGCAACATACAGGGATAGGAGGGCTGTAGGTTGGCAACATACAGGGCTGGGAGGGCTGCAGGTTGGCAACATACAGGGCTGGAGGGCTGTAGGTTGCCAACATACAGGGCTATGGTGGCTGTAGGTTGTCAACATACAGGGCTAGGAGGGCTGTAGGTTGTCAACATACAGGGTTATGATGGCTGTAGGTTGTCAACATACAGGGCTAGGAGTGCTGTAGGTCGGCACCATACAGGGCTAGGAGTGCTGTAGGTTGGCACCATACAGGGCTAGGAGTGCTGTAGGTCGGCAACATGCAGGGCTAGGAGTGCTGTAGGTTGGCAACATACAGGGCTAGGAGGGCTGTAGGTCGGCAACATACAGGGCAAGGAGGGCTGTAGGTTGGCAACATACAGGGCTAGGA